CACAGAGAGGCAGGGGAAGGGCAAGGCTTCAGTGTTATCAGGTGGCAGTTCCAAACTCTGAAGCTTGTCAGTGTGCTGAGACAGCTCAGGAACAGAATGCCTGCAGATGATGAGTCTGAGGTAGGCTCTTGGCCCATGACATTTCTGGATGGTGCAGTCAGCTAATTAACCAGCTATTAAGCACAAGGTTGGAGGCTTCAGTCAGTCCAGAGGCGCCTTGGAGGAAAGGCCTGGTGATCTACTAAAAACCAGTCACTGAAAACCCTCCTGAGCACTGTTGTACTGACACAGCAGGGGCTCCACTGACTGCAGTCCACTGACAGCAAGGCCTTGGGTTCCAAGCACCCAGAATGGAAGCTTCCCTGATAGTTTAAAACTGTGCCACACAATGGAAGACCCTGTTCATAAATGCTGCGACATGAAAGGTCTCAGAATGCACGTGTGTGCACACACATGCATGTGTATGTGCAGGTCTGTATGTACTCAAGTTGAATGCAAGTATCCAGGTATGAACGAATACAACCTGGCTTCTCCTGGACAATGTGTATCCTATCATCTGCCAGGTCAAAGACCTGAGCTGGCAGCTGCTGTCCGACTCTACCTCTCAGATCTGAGTTTAGGATGCACAGCCTTTTCCTTTTCTGTGGGCAGGGCTGGCTGCTGAAGACAAATACAGCAAGTGGGGGCCTTGGAGAGGTGTCTGTGGGCCAGAACATACTGCAATCCCACATCAGTTAAAGTATTTGTCAGCTCTACTCCTGTTGGTCTAATTCTCTCCTGTTTGACACCACCCAGGGCCTGGTTTTCAATGTTTCAGCATCTGGTCTCCAGTTTTGAGCTAAGCACAGCCTTGCGGTTTGAGTATTTGTATGTGTGTATTTGCAATGATGCCTGGTCCTGGATGACACCATGCGAGTCCTGTACAAAAGCCTGTGGCAGCTCTGGTGTTGCATGTTGCAGCCCACACCTAGCATTGTGAATACACCTAGGCTCTGAGGGAAAAACAGATGATATTCTAGAGGACCCTTGGGGGTGGCTCTTCCCTGTCCAGGGGGGTCACTCAGGGATAGAGTCAATCCACTAACCACACAAAAGAAACAGTAACAGTGTAGCAACCACAGCACAAGAGTTACAAATGTAAGGGCTAGAAGAGGGAGAGGTGAGTCCCTAGTTCTTTCCAAAAACTTCCATAATACAAGAGAAGTGAGCTGAAGGGGAGGGGGAGACCATGGCCCAATAATGAAGATGTATATGAAGACACTGGGTTTAAAGCAGACTAAATGTTTGCTTGCTTGGCACTGTAAAAAAAAAGAACTCCAAGTATCACTTGGAATACTAACAACACGACAGAAATAAAGTATTATTTATTAGAAATATTATACATCACACACTTTGATATTATGATTGAATATATATCTTTGTTAGCATGTCACCTCCTGACAGTGCTTAGTCTGCTCTTTACAGAAACAAGGCCACAGATGTCACCGAGCACATTCCACTGGTTGTTAAGATTAGTGAGCTGCTAGGGATGCCACAAAGTGAAAAAGATACCAACCCAGGTCAGAGGAGAAAAATATCCAGTGAGAATGGGCAAATGTTGGTATTAAAAAGACTTTTAAAAAGGTTACCGGGTTAGCCTGTGCTGCGTGGTACTGAAGCTTTGGAATAAGATTAGTTCTTGGATTTGGCAAATAGGTTTTAATTTAAGAACAAGCGAGAGGAGAACAAGTCAAGGGAGTGTGCATTTGCCTGGTTCCCCAGAATATTATCTCAGCAGTGCAGGGGCCCAGGTGAAATTCAAGTCAGTCAACTGAAATTCAAGTCTCTATAATTCACAATGCAGAGAACTCCAGACTTGTCCATGTCCTAAAGAAATTCCTCCTCTCTGCTGGGTCTTGCATTTTGTAGTTGTGTATTATATAAAAACTACAAAATGAGGGGGGGGAAAAGTCCTTATAACACTCAACACTCCAATAATTTTGAACAACTATTGGACTGCCAAAGGAACAAACAGATATGTCCTGGAGAAAGTGCTGTTAGTGTTCCATGGAGGCAAAGATGATGAAGCTGCATCTCACATAGTTGCAGGACGTCATGCTTGGGACGGTGGAGGAGTGAAGGAGAGGGAGACCCTGAGTCAAGTGAAGTGACACAGTGTCTGTAGCAATGGGCGTGAGGCTGGCACAGGACAGGATTCAGATCTGTTGTTCACAGAGTCACTATAAGTTGTACCCGACTCGATGGCACCTGAAAACAACATCTGGTCATCAAATGACTAGAGAGGGTGAGATGGGAAACCAGGGAGGGCGCAATCTACCAAGGGGTAGAAAACAGAAGAGGCTGCCTTGTTTTATCAGTCCATCAAGTTGTCACTTTCATCTTGGGCTCTGAAAGGAGCCCTGGTAGTGCAGTTTTTTAGGCATTCAATTGCTACATGAAGGTCAGCAGTTCAAACCCACCAGCCACCTATCAGGAGAAAGACGGGCCTGGACCACCATGAAGATTACAGCTTTAGGCAGTTCTGCTCTGTCCCAGAGGGCTGTTTTGAGTCAGAACTGACTCCATAGCAATGTGATTTTGTACTGAATGCTCTAACAGAAGGAACTAAACAATGTAATCAAGTGTGGCTCAGCCAGGGCTAGGGGCGGAGCAAAAGTTGATCTAAGGGCAGACCCCTCTTAGCTTGCAACTTCACATGCAACCAGACACACTTTCCAGTTGAGAGCTGCCAGCTGCTGAAGGCATCAATCCCTGTCCCAAGACCCCAGCAGGGTCTGCCTTGCAACAGAGCTTGCCTTCCTCAGAGCATGAGGTGGTCCAAGTACTTCCTTGAGTTATGAAAAATAACACTGCATGTGGCATTGCTTTCCTCTGCTACTTCCCCTTTTTTTTCGCTTCAGGTAGCAGGACATACACGAGAACAGGAGAGCTGGGCCTTCGGCAGCAGTGTGCTTTTAGGGGGATATATAGCTCTGCCCAGAGCTCCTCCTAAGGAATCACCAAAATCATCTCTGAGGACCTCCTGTGAGACTGCGTCAGTGGGAAACCTCCCCCAGGTATAGAAGCCCTCCACTGCCTTGCCCCACAAACCCCCACACCTGAACCCAAATACAGGGACACTGCCCTCTCCATGCCTGTGTTCAAGGTGAGCAAAGTAGGCTCAAGGAGATGATGCAAATTACCAGGTAGTCAACAAAAGAAATCACTTTCACTTGCATGCCTCTAACCGGAAGGAGCAAGCTTGGCCAGAGGTGCCTCAAACCCCTGTTTAAGAACAAAGAGGTCCTTTATGTAATTATTGTCATCAAAAAGCTGTGTCTGTGGGCACAGTGAAAAGTGCTCTTCTGGAGGTTCATGAGGGTCATGGGCCCCACCTGTCCAGAGTTTGGAAATGCAGAGTGTAACCTGTTCCTGTTTAGACATCTGGATTCACTCACCCTGGCAGGCTCTGGAGTGTTCTTACAAGATTCTGCTATAGAGCCAGATCCACCACCAGGGTAAGATACGAGGACCTCCTCCCCTCGGTCAATGGAGAGCTGAGACAGAGGGTGGACCAGCCCACAGAGCTCAACTGCTGGTGTGCAGGGGGAGATCACAAAGCAGATTCATTCCTCTCCGGGGGGGCCTGGCTGAACTCTGTACTTGGGCTGAGATTAGCAACCACAAATTTACTGCATGTAGCAGTGGCAGGACTGCAATTCTCAGTGGTTTGCTTACTGCAGGATGAACCTTTTCCAGAGAGACATTGACAGAATTATTTGGTGTCTAACTCAGCAATATGACCCACACACTTAGCTAAGCTGTAAATGTGAATGGCACCATTAGTGGCTGCGCAACACACAGTCAAGTGAGGACACGAAGCCACCCAGGGGTTTCCGACAAGGGGGCTGTGTTGGGGAGGGCAGGATGTTTGTTAAGTAAACAGAGAAGTTGGAGGAAAATGGCATTTTCCTTTGTCCAGGAAACATAAAAAGGTCTGATAAATTCTCCAGCTAGGGAAATTAAGGGTCAAAACACTGGAGAAACTGCTCATTATTTCACAAAATCCACACCTTTAACCTGTTTAGTTGTGCCAAGTGTAAATACTTGAACTATAATTTTAAAAACAAAAACAAACTTGGGAAAACCACACGTGGTTCACTGCACACAGACCCCCGTGTGGAAAGGCTGTGGGTTTGAGCATGTGAGGCGTGGCAGCAACGTGCAGTTCCTGCAGCTTCCTTTTGGCGTGTAAACACCTCATTCATCCGCAGCCGTGTGGGGGTGTGACAGATGCCTGTCTCCACTCACATGGCCCACAGCCAGCAAGGATGCAGTTCAGTCCCTGAACACTGGGCTGTTACCCAGTGGCTCATCTGCATTCTCACATACACACTTCACTTTTCATTCACATAGTCAAGCAAGTGACTGTGAGATCTAAAATATGTAATCAAGTTCTAAGCATTCTAATTGGTACCCAGAACTTAAGCACATTTCATTTACTCTTCCTTGCCAATATGTTTCCAGGCTGCTGAGGAGCAAATGGGTTTTTTTTGGGTTTTCTGTTCGAGGTGTTTTTTTCTTCCCCACTGTAGGGTGGTGCTGTGGTGGTGGAAGGGCAAAGTTTTTATAATGACAAGAGCCAGATTTTTATTGGAGAAAAGTCCTGACTGAGAAGAAGTTGCTGCGCTAGGGACAACTGTCTCAGGTGTCTGTGGAAGCTATGGGCTCAGTGACCCGTGTGATGGGAGAGGGTGCACTGGCTCTCACAGAGTAAAAGCCCAGTGCTAGAGGGAGGCTGTGCTCTGAGGAATGGACCCCGATATGTGCTGAGCTTTTGGATTTGAGTTGGGGACATGGCCTTGCTGTTTCCTGCGCTGTGTCCTCTCTGACTGAGCTTGTCAGAATCACCAACGAGTCCTCCTTTGAAATCCAGAGGGTGGGGAAATAGAGCAGGATCTGTGGAAAGTGACTGATGCTTCTGGGCCAGATGGTGGCTTCTGCCCTTAGACCCTCTGGATTCACGTCTCAAAGTACTTGTAGATCTGGGCCACATACTGCATCACGCTCTGCCAGTCTGGCCGGTCCGTGTAGAGTATTTCGCTGAGCTCCTGCAGTGAGAGGAGAGGGGAAGGTTATGTTACACGGGAGAACAAGCTGAAGGAGTCATCATGGGACCCTGCCTCAAGGGGCTGCAACCCCAGCCAGGGCTTACACTGCCAAGAAACTCCCACCAAAACAAACATGCAGCAGAAAGGCAGTTTGGCATTTCCTCAAAAAGCTTAACAGAAATCCCATATGATCCTGATATAGTACTAGCAGGAATATACCCCAAGGAAAACAGAACTGAGACACAAACAGTTGTACACCTATGTTCCCCAAAGTACTATTCACAATGAAAAGAAAAAGGAACAGTTCAAATGTTCATCAGCAAATGACTGATGATTAAGAAATTATGGCACATTCACACAATGGAATACTATGCAGCCCTCAGGGAACTGATTTTGTAAAATACATGGGAGAGGCTAGAGAGTATTATGTTAAATGAATTAACTTGGTCTCATAAGGACAAATACTGCATAGGACCATTATTGTAAAAATAGAAGGATAATTAGTAAGATGTGTATAAAAGTCCAAAAGGAGAAGGGGAGTGGGGCAGGGGGGCAGATGATGGGGGTCTGTGTCTGTAAGAATCACTAGGATGACAGCCGCTGGGCAGAGAAAGGGGTGAAAGAGTTAGGAAAGATCCAATGGAGACCTAAAAAGATTGAGTAATAGTAGGCAGAGATCAATGGTGACTAATTTTATAAAACACAATGCATATGAATTATTGAAACACAATGGAAATGAAGGAATGTATGAAAAAAATGTACATAAATGAAACACAATGTACACAAATTTTGTATGCAAACCAATAGAAAAGAGGGGGGGAAAGGGCAAAGACCAAGACTATGGTAAATGTGATTCAAAGGCCAAGTAAGTTATGGTAGTGCAGTCTGAACTGACTCACAGCTGACTCTCCAGTGGGTTTTGGATACTGTAAATGGCATGAGAGTTCCTTTCTTCATCTCTTCCAATGCAGTGTTCATTATCTATGCACTTTTGTCTTATTCTCCTCCCAATCCCCCATGTTAGTCCAGCTTTATAACAGTGGTGCTATGTAGTATTTGTCCTTTTGTGACTGAGATATTTCACTCAGCACAATGTCCTTCAGGATCACACATGTTGCATAATATTTTACAAGTTCATTGTTTTTCAGTGCTGTGTAATATTCCATTGTATGAATATGGCATAGTTTTTCTATCCATTCATTTGTTGCTGGGCACTTGGCTTGCTTCCATCTCTTTGCCATGATTAGGCATTATACGTGTGACGACAGTACAGAATAAGAGGTACGTTGCAAAGAGGATTGGAGGAAGGGGAAGGGAGGAGAGAGATAATTGTGCAACAATGAATGAATTTTTTAAATTTTTTTTTTTTAGAAAAAGTGAAGTGGGTGAGGTGGAAGGGAGAGGGGGAATGTGCAAAAATGAATAAATGAAACTCCAACTTTTTCTGTAAACTTTTTTAAAAAATCACAAAATAAAAATGACATAGGAGGAGACTGTCCAACCTTCTTTCTCTCACAGAGCTGCTGATAGATTCAGGCAGCACAACTGCCTATGGACTATGCCACCAGAGCCCGCTAAGTTTCCCCTTCCTATGTATTTGGGAATACTATCTCTTTTCTAGAAAACCCAAGATAGGATATTCTGCCTCTTAAATTTTTAACAGCAAAATAGCAATTTTAAAAAGTTTTGCAAACAGAAATATTTCATTATTCTGACACCATAAAGCATTTTTCATGTTCTAAATTACATTAGGATGACACTTTCCCCCACCCTAGTTGACAGAGCTGTTATGTACTCCGGGCCCATTTTACATTAACATTTTTCACACACAGTTTTCCATGGCACTAACACTGTTTTGATGGCTAACTCCAGGGGACACACACAGTCTAAGGGAACTGTTGTCTTAACACAGACTTTCTTAACATAAAGTTGAAAGAATGACATTTTTACAAAATTCTTGAATCAATTTAAAATGCAACTCTTTTTCGTTAGCACGACTATTTAATAACTCTAGTATCTAAAGTTTTCAGTTTTGTTTGGTCCCTGCAATTTAATTAGACAACACACAAACATATGATGGAGGCCAGAAAGAGCCAGGAAGGATGAATGTCTGGTACAGGCTCAGCCAAGCTTTTCAAAGGTTATGCCACTGAATCTATTTAATCATCAGCTTTGGAGTTGAATTTTAATTGCTTTGTGGCCATAAAAAAACAAATGGAAAGGACCCTGATGTTAAACAAGAGACCATGTGAAGTAAGAATGAGCTTAGTACATCTGCTATAAGGCAGTGAAACAGCGAGCTGAGTTCTGATAATCACTCATTTATCTTGTTTCACCAGCAACTAAATATACTTCATTGACTTTGCTCCCTAGATATGAGAAAAAGAAAAGAAGAAGAAAGAAAAGAACTATCAGCATATTATTATTGTTAGTCATGGGGAAAAAAATCCAAGTAGCATTCTATGTAGAAAAACCCAGAGTGATTTAAAAATTATCCCCCCCGCCCCCCAGAATACAAGGATAAAGACTTCTTCTACCCAGAATTCTGTATTCTGGCACAAAGGCTGTTGTACCAAAAGGTAAACTTTATAATATAGTTCTTGCTTCAAATGGACAAAAATGCATTTTGACAATTTTAAACAAAATCATATAGCATCTGCTATGTAAGATGCTTTGGGAGACCAGCATATGGATACAGCTATTATGAGTATAAACACAACTCATTACCTTTTACACTATGAAAGTGATCTCGTTTTTCCTCACCTTTTCATCTCCAGTGTAGTAGATCATATGATTGTCTGATTAAAAATGTCCCATGATAATCGATCTCATTTTGCTAATATCTAGTACGTCAATATTTATGTGTTCCATTTATTTCTTAACAATGTCCAGTTTTCCTATATTCATGCTTCTTACTTTCCATGTTCCAATCATTAGTTTCTGCTTACAACTGTTGCTTGTAGTTCCATATTTGAGGGATCAGTCTTAGTTGCCATGTCTGTTAGTCTACTCTAAATGTGCTCTACTGTATATACTATGAACAAAATATTGGAACCCTGTTCTATCCTGCACCATTTTTACACTTCCTGACACACAAAAGCCCACTGCAGCAGTTACTGTGTCAATCCACCTGGTTGTCATTCTCCCTCTTCTTCTTTGACCCTCCACCCTTCCGAACAGCATCATGTTGTTCTCCAAGGAATAGCCCCTCCTGGCAAGCTGTCCAAAGTATGTGAGGCAAAGCTTCATCATTCTTGCTTCCAAAGAGCATTCCAGTTGCACCCTCTCCAAGACATGTGTGTTCATCCTCTTGGCCATCTGTAGGATGTTCAGTGCTCTTCTCCAACACCACAGCTCAAAGACTTCAATTCTTTTTCTATCATCTTTATTTATTGTCCAGCTCTCAGATGCATAGCTAAGAATCAGAAAGATCATAGCCTACACTACTTTCAAGGAAAGACAGACTACCAGACAGAAATTCAACAAAGATACTGCAGAATAAAATCTCACAATTAACCAGTTCTATCTTATAGACATATACAGACTAATGTACCTCCAAAAGATCATTATACATTCTTTTCCAGTGTATAAGGGACATTCTTCAGGATAGATAATATTTTACATCACAAAGCAAGCCTAAATAAATTAAAAACATAGAAGTAATAAAAACTTTTTTCAGACCACAGTGCTAAAAAACTAGAAATCAATAAGAGCCAGAGGACAAAGAAGGAAAAAAATCCCACATACATTTGTAAGTTGAACAATGCCATGCTTGAACATGAGTGGGTAATAGAAGAAATAGAAAAAGAAATTTAAAAATTTCTTGAAACAAATGAGAATGTAAGCGCAACTTACCAAAATCTCTGGGATTCAGTAAACGGAATACTTAGAGACCAATTCATAGCAATAAGCACACACATCAAAAAGAAGGAAAAATAATAACATTATTTAACTCAACATCTCCAACAAATAGAAAAATAACAGCAAATAATCCTGACAACTTCTAAAAGAAAGAAAATGATAAAAACCAGGGCAGAAAGAAATGCAATAGAAAACCAACAAACGTTGAAACTATCAACAAGACAAGGAACTGGTTCTCTGAAAAGATCAGTAAAATTGACAAGCCACTAGCAAAGGTAACAAAAGAAAAGAAAGAAAAGACACAGATAATCTGAATAAGAGATGGAAGGGGTAATGTCACAACAGAACCAACCGAAATAAAAAGGTTAACATTAGAACATTATGGAAAAACTATACTCAAACAAATTTTTAGAAACTCACAACCTACACAAATTAACACAGACTGAAGTAAAACACCTGAACAGATCCATTACAAAAGAAGATATTGAACAGGCCAGGAGACATTCAGATGGCCAACAAGCACATGAAGAAATGTTCAAAATCCCTAGTTCTGAGAGAGATGCAAATCAAGACAACTATGAGATATCATCTCACCCCAGTAAGACTAGCATAATTTAACAGAACAGCAAGCAACAAATGCTGGCGAGGCTGTGGAGAGACTGGAACCCTTATTCACGGTTGGTGGGA